GGTGGTGTCTTCTTCTTTATAAGAGAAAAACAAAAAGTTTGTTGAAGCTTTGCCATGTTTAAGTTATTTAAAAAAGAAAGTGAAGATATAAAATACAGTTTCCTTCTTTTGTTTCAACTTTGCATGTCATTAAACAGGTCCGTCAACACCAGGAGAATATTGTGTAGCACCCGTCTGGACACTTTTTTTATTATTATTATTTATCAAAATTGGATACTGCTGGGAGGGATGGGGAGGTGCTGGCTTGTTAGAGAGAGAAAGAGATTCGACAGCATGACAGGATGGCTCGAATCTGGAACACATTTGTACAGCATTATGATGATAACGAGATAAAGTCAGTTGATCAGATGAAAAATACTGGCCCAGAGGTGGCTCCAACTTCATCCTGTTCCCTACTTGTATGTCTCGTGATAATAAAAATGCTTTCAAATGAGCTCTTAGCTTGTCAATAAAGTTATGAGTACATAACTTGTAAATAGCTTGTCAATAAAGCTAGGGAACCTTAACCTAACCTTGTCAAACCCTGTGTAAAAAAAAAAAAAAGAGAGAGAGGAAGAATTGCTTAATCGGCTGTCTGAATCAGTCGATCAATCAGATAGGCAGACAACCCCGACAAAGAAATCATCAAAGAGAAACTAGACCTGTTCCCATAACAGTTGTAAGATTAACCAGTTCTATGGTTTGCTGGCAACAAATGTCTGGTTCTCCAGGCAGTTAAGAGTGAAGTCTGGCCTCAGGTCGGGTTTAGAGAGTAGAACTCTGGAAACAGGATGCAGAGGAGCACAGCATGAAAGGGAAGAAGTCCAGGGCAGCTTCCAGGAAACCTGCAAATGTCAAATGTCATGCCAGTCGAGCAGAACGAGTAAGATTCTTCCCCTGTATTACACTCAAAAGGTGTTAATAAAGGTAATCAAGAGTGCTGGAACACATGAGTAATGTATTCACAAATGCCAAACATGAGTTCGGAGATAAATGCTGTTTCGGAAATCTAAAGGAATTCCGTCATAGAATAACTCGAGATAAAACAGGAAAGGTGGTGATTATATTTTCCGTAGGTTAATTTACAGGTTGGATAAATCAGTGGGGATGGCAGAAAAATATACTTAAAAGGGATTAGATCGTTAGGGAAACAATAGGTGTGATTTGGTATCTCAGTGGATTATAACGATAAGTAGAACATCACAAGAATTAGTACTGGGACTGGTACTCTTTTATACATATAAATAATGTGTCAGAGAGGAGCATAGAAAGGAAAGAAAGAAAGAAACCAGAGTACAGGGTAGCTACCATTTACAGTTATATCCCTGCTTGCAGACGATGTAATATTGTCTAGAATCATAGGGCCTGAAGAAGAGAGGTAAGGACTCTAGGGTGTACCTGGACACACCGCGGGAGTGGTCACACAGGTAGCTACTGCAATTCAATCCCACCAAGTGCAAATTTATGACCGTAGGGGAAGGGGAGAGAAGTGCTGAGGTAGGAGGGCTCGACGCTGCTGAAATACTGGCCGTGTGGGGGAAGAATGATAGAGGTATGGAGGTATTTCCTTCAGATAATTTCATAAAATTGTGTTGGTGCCCAGGGGTCGGAGACGCGGGATGACTCTCTGGGTCACCTTGATGGGATGGAACACACCTAGCTATCTTTTTATCGCATCCTCCTCTAGCATATATTTTTTTTTCAGAAAATGAAAACTTGACTTTTTTATACGCACGGAGAGTAAGGATCCTCTGGCACCATCTTCCGGATAGAGCAGTGCCATCATTGGTGCCAGGGTGTTACACGAGCGCTACAGGGAGTCACTGCTTCCTCGAGATCCTTCCTTTTGCGATGATCGGATCAGGTGTTGATACTACCACTCCAGAATCCTCGGCCTCTACCTCTCCTTTCCGTTACTTTCACATATAGTTTTTGGCACCTTAGCATTCGAGGGGCGGTGTCATTTTTCCCTCTTGGAGTGTTACGTTGGCACTATCGCTCCATAATGTCACGACCCTCTTCCTAGAGTAAACTTGTGGAGTGTGGTGCTGTTGGCTGTGTTTATCTGTGATGCTCCCAGGAGCCACCGTGTCAACAAGACAGGCCGAGCAAGTCATGAATATATTCCCTGAGGTCTGAGCAAAGCTCTGTTGCTTGTTTACCTCACTTGCGTCAACCATCGATCACTACCCTGTAAAAGAAACTTCATGGGGAAATAATGTATTAGTAACTTAAGATGTTTATATGAACTTCTGGAGAACACTGTGTGTTTTCAGTCTTCGAATAATTTAGACCTTGCTTGTATGGCCCGAAATGTTTTATATAATTTGCGTGACTAAGTACACTAATTCATGCAGTCTGTAATACTGAAATACATCATTTTGATAAATATGTTTATTGTTGGAATGGTTTTTGACTATTGTGCGGATGGTATTCATCTTATTAAAATTTTGCTTAAAAAAAAAAGTGCTACCGATAGTCAGGACCATTGACTAACAATAAATAAAGAATAATTGAATTATAAATTAATATTTTATGTCTGTGGTAGGTTAAAAATATATGCCGAATGTTTATATAGGGGAAAATCAAATAAATAGAGGATCTACCTAAAATGAATTGCGGGGGTCACCGCCCCCGCGACCAGGTCCTAAATTTTGTACAAATGTTATCTATGAACTTGATCTTAACTTTTTACTGGCCCTGGTTATAATATAATTTTCAGTTCTGGTCACCCTGTCGCAGAATGAGCGTAAATTCTTTTGAAAAGTACAGTATACACAGAAAAGTATTCTGAGAATAATGAATCTTATTTTAAGAAGACTCTGAAAAGTTCACAGTTGCATGCTCTCTCAGGGCTTATAGTGCAATTTATGTATTGGAAAGTATTTGATGAAGAGGTTATAATTATAGTTTAGCTACAACTCGAAATAAGCCATTAAGTTTGCTGAAGATTTAGATCCAGACGCTTAGCGCTTCTTTTTGATTATAATAATAATAATAATAATTTAGATCCAGACAATTCCTTTATAAACACTGGCTGATATACAGGGTGGGAAATGTGTGGAACAAGGTACCCTGAAGCATCATGGCACAAATACGTTGGGACGCTTGGGATAGAGAGCTGTGGGGGCCGTCGACCCCTGGAACGATCATCAGACAGATACATATTAACAACGGTTGGTAGGGAAGAGATGCTACTTTATGCAGGTCACTAGGCTGCTTGAAGCTCCCTTGATTATTACATGTTCCGGCATGAGAGTCAGAAAGTTGCGTTACTAGTACTGCCAACATGGCTGAAGGGCCTTCCCTCGTTCCTCTGGTATATAAAAAAATCATACTGTTTGCCTTTGTTTCGGAACCCTATCTGAAGTTGATTTCCCTGGTCACCGCCTCCGCGCCCCGGTCTCAGACCAGGCCTCCTAGGTTGAATCTTCATAATTTATCGCAATAGTCTATAGTGTCTGTGCTTAATACGAAGTAGAAATTTCTAACATCTGTCATTAAAAACATCCAGACTTAACTTGAATGAAGCTTGCTTCAGACCAGGTCTGTGGTCTACGATTGATGAATTAGCGAAATAAAGTACGTATGTAGATTTAGAAGCTGATACAATGCTTTGCTGCCTTAATTCTGTGGGATGCTGGACAGGTGGAGCACTCACACAGTGTGGGAGGTTGGGTCGATGGGACACACAATGTGGGAGATTGGGCAGGTGGGACACTCACACAGTGTGTGAAGTTGGGCAGGTGGGACACTGTGTGCGAGGCGAGACATCCACACAATAGATCAAAGGCTGACAGATGCGTTTATTAGGTGTGTGAGCCGGATCTTGGGAGCCACCATCACTACAATACCCCACTAGACACGGGTCTTGGAGAGCTACCACACAACTCACTAGACACGGGTCTTTGGGAGCCACCATCACTATATTAAGGGTCTTGAGTCCAGAAGAGCTGTCATTATCACAACAGCCCACAAATGAGGGCACATCAGTGTCCTTGCTCTTTTTAAGGAAAAGTGACCATCGGACTGGCTTGCTAGTTTTAGGACTTGCTTGCCAAGGGTTCCATCCCCCGTTCTTCCTGCTTTGTTTGTTTAACATAAATACAGGTTTATTGTAAGTAGGTCGGCAGACAACCATCCAGGGAAAATATTAGTGTTTATCGTCTTGTCATACAAGTGTGAAACTGAATCCCGTTAGATGTTTTGCACTCTTGCAGGATTGCTGCTCATTTTCTTTCTGCTTCGTAAACATGTAAGACAGGTAATAAATCTTACCAACTTATACTAAGTTCAGTATATAATTTACTCCTGTTCTTTTTTTTTGTAGTTCTTGTACATGTATTTTATTTTAAATTTAAGAGGCCTGGTCTGAGACTGAGCTGCTGTAGCAATGACCTCCGGAACCAATTTCTGACAGCCTCAGAGGAGCAGCCATGGCCGGTGTCGAGACAGTCTCTGTTTCTTTGTAGGAGGCTCGAGCCTGCAGTTTTTCAGAGAAATAACCATGCGCTTCTGGCGTCTTCTGTACTGTACATTATTTTTGTTATCTTGGCAAATTGATTTTTTTGTCATACTCCATCATACAGGAGGAGTGTCATACTAAATATATATATATATATATATATATATATATATAAAATGAGAAATCTTCCCTGCGCACACACACACACGAGTCTGTGTAGTATAAACCCTGGTAATAATAGATACTAACAAATTAGTTTAAAAAGACACGAGCAAACACTAGGACATATTTATTAGAAAACGTTTCGGTCTTGGGACCTTGATCACTTCTAACACATGGTGGCCTTCAGGTCACCTTGCGTCACTCACACATTACTTTCCGCCTATATATACAGGTCATTTTAACCTCTGTATGTTAGAAGTGATTAAAAGTCCCAGGACCGATACATTTTCTAATACTTCCAAATGTTTGCTTACGTGTTTTTTTTTTTTAAGCATCTCGGTGTACTCTGCCACCAGAAGTAAGAGCACACGAGTGAATATTTTTCTTCTTGCAGGTGGCGTTGGCAGCGGTATGCAGGAGGGCGGGGACGGCGAGCAACGAGTCCGTGTTAGTCAGGTACTGTGCTGAGCATGCTTCCATCTCCACACACAAGGACATTTGAAACTCGGTTTTTTTATTTACTTTTTAATATTTTTTTGGTGTTTTAATAGGGCTAGTCTCGTATTTCTAAGTGCGTTTTTTGTCCCCTTTAGTGCAGTTTTAGGCTGTGGTGATGGCAGAATACTTTTCGCTGTGCAGGTAATGTATTTGTGCACTCATAGCTGTGTTTTTAACCTTTTATTGTGAGCCATGGACGCCACCAGCTGGAAAGGTAACTAAAACGTGCAAATGAAGCTTTGGTTCTGGTTTAATAAGAGTTTGATTGTGCTTCAGAGAATTATAAGAGGAAGGCTCATTTCAAAGAGCGTTAATTTGTGTATATGAGTGAGAGAGTGAATATGGAAGTGCACTGGGAGTGTGTACAAGCGCTTATCCCCGTCTCTGTTCTCCATTCAATGTAGAGGATGTTACTTCCCAGTTGTATGTTAGGTCTAGCCCATCTGGAGCAGCATCTTTGAAGCTGAAATAGCTACTGAAACCATAGTAGAATACTTGATGATACCCTCAACGTCCTGCTGAAGTCTTTCAGGTCAGGCTGACAGATTTCATTACCGTAAACATGAAGGCCATCGTGTGTGATGGAATATAACAGGGGTAACATAGCTAGTTCTCGTTCCCACTGTGTACCTGTATTATAGCAGCTCGTTCTCGTACCACGAGTCATTCACCTGCCGATTTTTTTTATATAGGTTTATGTGACTTGGCCTAATTTAAAGAAAATATCTGTAAATTTACCTGGAACGTTGAGAAATTGACTCTGGTATGTGGTATCAGCACACTGCGGGTATACCTAATTTTGTTTAAAAATAATATACATTAAAAAAATGTTGTCAATGGAAGCCAGTTTCTACATTAACTCCGGTTCCTCCCCCTCCCTCCCGGCATTGTTCCACTCCCCCCACCATCATTGTTCCCCTTCCCCTGGAGGTCATGACAAAGACCGCCCCCCCTTCCCCAGGCTTTAACGTGACACTCCCACTACCAAACCCCTCACCCGGCTTTAACGTGACAAACCCCTCCTACCAAACTCCCCTCACAGCTTTAACGTGACCCCTCCCAACCAAACCCCCCTCCCCAAACTTTATCATGACATCCACAACTCCACTACCACCCCCTCACCAGGCTTTAAACGTGACACCCCCCACTACCAAACCTCCTCCCAGGCTTTAATTAACATGACCAACCCCCCACTACCAAACACCCCCTCACCAGGCTTTACACGTGTTAACGCACCCCCACTACCAAACCCCCTCACCAGGCTTAACGTGACACCCCACTACCAACACACCCCCTTCACCAGGTTTTAACGTGACACCCCCTACCAAACCCCCTTCACCAGGTTTTAACGTGACACCCCCCACTACCAAACCCCCTTCACCAGGTTTAACGTGACACCCCCACTACCAAACCCCCTTCACCAGGTTTAACGTGACACCCCCACTACCCAACCCCCTTCACTAGGGTTTAAACGTGACAACCCACTACCAAACCCACCTTCACCAGCTTTAACGTGTAACCCGTCCACTACCAAACCCCTCACCAGGCTTAACGTGACCCCCACTACCAACCCCTCACCAGGCTTTAACGTGAGACCCCCACTACCAAACCCCCTTTCCAGGTTTTAACGTGAACCCACTACAAACCCCCTTTCACAGGTTTTAACGTGATCACCCCCATACCAAATCCCCTTCACTAGGCTTTAACGTGTACCACCCCCCACTACCTAAATCCCCTCACTAGGCTTAACGGTGTACACCCCCACTACAAACCCCCTTCACCAGGTTTTATGACACCCATACCAAACCCCATGTCACTAGGCTTTTTACGTGACATCCCCCTACCAAACCCCCCTCACCAGGCTTTAACGTGACACCCCACGTACCAAACCCCCTCACCAGCTTTAAAGTTGAACCCCCATACTATCCCCTTCACAGTTTTAAAGTGACCCCCCACTACCAAACCCCCTTGCACTAGGCTTTAACGTGACATCCCATAGCCAACCCCCCTCACCGGTTTTAACATGGGCATGCCCTCACAATTCTCAACTTGACAATGCTCGTTAATTTTCATATTTCGTGGAAGTTTGTGGTCAAGTACCATTGATCCTAATTCTTGTTCAATTGCAGTGACTGTGTTAACTGCAGTGGACTGTGTTAACCTGCAGTGACTGTGTAACCTGCAATGACTGTGTTGATCTGCAGTGACTGTTGTTAACCTGCAGTGACTGTGTTAACCTGCAATGACTGTGTTGATCTGCAGTGACTGTGTTGATCTGCAGTGACTGTGTTGATCTGCAGTGACTGTGTTGATCTGCAGTGACTGTGTTGATCTGCAGTGAACTGTGTTGATCTGCTGTTCCCTCCTCCTCGTGTCCTCCTCCTAAATATCTGTGTATATTTGGGTAGAACACAGAGCAAGAGAGTTTTTTATATAGTGTACAATGCTTCGCTAAAATAAATTTTATGCAGACCTTGTTGCTCCGTCACGACAGGTATGATTTTTTTTATGTACATGTGTATGTATGTTTTTATATGTATGTGTACGTATGTATTGTGTATATTTACGTACGTGCGCACGTGAGAATCTTCGTCTCCCCATTTGAAAGTCTGAGTGGCGATCTTTTTTCGTTACCATAGTTACCTTCCTCGTCTGACTTGGTCAGTGTTTTGGGAAGTTTTGAAATTATCTCAGGTGGCTATGGTTGGTGTCTGGAGTGTTGCTGTCAAAGGCCAAGGCGGTAATCCAGTGACAAAAAAATATAATTACAATTCCCCTGTCAATTCTTAGGAACATGTATCTGGTTTCTTATTGCGCATCTTAGTTTTTTCTTTTTCTTTCATTTTGCACTGGTTTCGTTAATCGTTCCGATATGTTAGCTTAACGAAGTGTGGAACGTGCAGGGTAATATTATGTCAGTAGAGGGTTTTATGTAACTATAGTTCTCTGTCCGTCATTTATGTATCTCCACCCTCCAGCTCTTGGCCCTCTTCACAGTCACATATTATCCAGCTCTTGGGGCCCCCTCCCTTCATAGTCATATATATATATTATATATATATATATATATATATATATATATATTATATATATATATATATATATATATATATATATATATTATATCGTGCCGAATAGGTAAAATTAGTCAGCAAGAACTTATTTAAAATTAAGTCCTTGCTAAAATTTTCTCTATGTTAATGTAAAAAAATAATAATTTTGCACCAAAGGAACCTTAGAAAACTTACCTAACCTTATTATAACAAGGGCAATTTTCTCAGTAGTAGTAACCAGTTACCAGTAACCAGTTACCAGTAACCTGTCCGTTGACTCAACGACCAACCGTCTTGAGTCACGGTCGCTCATATTGTGCTGAGCTGACACTATTTCAAAACACCCACTACGGGGTACTGGCCAGACGGCTAGTCAGTGTTACGAGTGGAAGCAAGGAGATAGGTACGTCTGGCGGGCATTCTCCACATAACAGCAATTATACGTATAACAGCCTACGTGAGTATTTCTACCCTAATCCACGTATCGAACTCCCACATGATAAATGGTGTACAGCGGTGTGGAGCGTGGATTTACGTTTTTAAGGGTAATTCAAGGCGTTTGAAGACTGTTGTGAGTAGCCGGCAGGGTCAACGGTGAATGCCCTCCCCTCACACCCACCAGCCACTACCCATCCGCACCACCTCGAGCCAGCAGCTTATACCCTCACAGCTTCAGCCTGCAAGCCTGTTGCAGCCGTTTCAAGCTTCCTGGCTTAGTTCGTGTGCTAATTGCTTCAATCTCCGAGGGGTTGACCCGGATTTTGCAATTAAGCCAGTCAGTAAGCCAGACTGTGGAAGTGAACGCCAGTCAGCCTATCATCCAGCCTGTCTCCTGTCATCCAACTGCTCCTCCGTGCTTTGTGCATCGTTACACGTCTTCCAGTCATCCATTCTCGTGGGGTAAGCCAGCCAGCCAACCCAGCTTCTAACCCAGCTGAGAGAGAGAAGTAAGCCACGCAGTAAGAAGTAAGCCAAGTTCCTCTGAAGTATTGTGTATCTCGCTTTGTGCTTCCTGTTGGATGCTAAGAGTGGTTTTTACCATTCCTGTGGCATAGAGTGGGTTGTTCGTCATCTCGTGGGTAGTGGAGTGAGCGCGTCCGCCAGGGAGTCTTCTCCCCCACCTCTCCTCCACCTCCCGGGGTGCGCGGCAGTACCCCAGCGAGAGTCACACCCCCCACTCTCTCCCACCAGCCATCCACTCTTCTACCTGTGGTTGTTTGCACCCTTGTACCGGGTCCTAGTACTGTTTTGGCTCACATAATTGGTCAAGAGATTGTAGCTGGTGCCACCGATAAAGCCAGTTATGTGAGTTCGTCTAGAACGCACATTTCTTCACGACAACAGTGAATGTAGGTGACGTCAGCCATCACCGCGCGGGACACCAGACACCCGCCCCCCCACCAGTACTCACCGTCCGTCTCCTACTCCCGACTTCAGTGATAATTTCTTGAGACATTTTTCTTGCATTTAAAGACATTTGCGTGTGTGAGACATTTATAGTAAATTGTTTGTGTACTCTAAACCTTGTGTTTTCAGTGTAAACGCAGTATTTCTTTAACTCAGTATTTTTCCAATATTTTTCAGTGTTTTCACTTATCTTATATTATTCTGCTGTGTTTTTCTTTATGCTATTCGTCTGTCGTAAGTATTATTGTGTAGTGTACCAGTCAGTCACCTGTGTGAAGTGATTCATTTTTTTTTATTGTATTCTTTCAGCGTTGTATTCTGCAGTGATATTTACCCCAGTATACCAAATTTTCCATTTATTTCTGTGTGTCATTTTTTTTTCGTATGCCAACAGTGTCTCATTTCTCTAATTTTTTCGCAGACTGTGTACCATTATTTTTGCCAGCAAAATTTTTGTCGTATCAGTCACAGCAAGATTTTTGTTGTATCAGTCACAGC